AAGACCTAACATGAAGTAAAGTAACATTCCAGTAACATCCTTAAAAATCATTTTAGGAGATTAATGGAAGACCCAAGATGAAGATTATAAAGCAACATAACGATTAACAGATGACTTGAAAAATTGCAAATTATATGAATCAGGAAAACGAGTTGAATGGATAGTATCACAAAAAACTGATGTTGGAGGAAAAAAGCTATACAAATAAAAAATTTTGAAGCACTTAGAAACAATAAAATACTATATTATTGTATACAAATACTAACTTAGCAATGATAAGGTTTCCATAAAAGGTCAGTACAAAAAGATAGTTAGAGACGATTTAAAGCAGAAAACACAGTAACAATGTTGCCATTCATGAGTATAAGAGTATTAACAAGATTGAAAATACTTTTTTAAAACTTCGTCAGATACACCATATCATCCAGAGCAATAGAATGTGCATCACCACCTCTATATAATGTAAATTTCTAACCATTCTGTAACAACAGTTAACAGGTCCAAAAACAAATGATTGAAATCCATATGTTTTTTATATCATCAACAAATAGAGCCAACTTTGAGTTTTTCAGGACGATCATTAATGTTGGTTATAGAATATTCACCTTGAAGTTCACCTTGTTAGTTATGTATTGACACTAGCATGAATTTGCAGCGTTTAGTGCCACAGGTTCTGTGTGTTTTGTGATTGTGATGTTATTGTTGTGATGTTTTGTGTTGATAGACAACTTGGCTAACTTTTTTGCTGGGGTCTATGGTTAAAAATGATTATTAGGTTGTTTTGTTACTCAAACTCTCTACCTCTAATCATTCACTAAAAGCCAAGAGATAAGTTTTAGAATAACGCCATTTTTTGTTTTAATGTTTTTTTCACTTTTTTATCTTAGTTGTTGTCAATAGTTCACATAAATAATCTCAAAAAGTAAGTTTCTTATTCTATACTTATTTAGTCTTAATTATTAATTTAAAATTTTTTATTTTTAAAACCAATTAATCTGTGTGTTTTGATAATAATTTTATTAAAATTTTAGGTTGATTTCTGCTTTTACACCTGCTATTGCTGTCGTAAGTACTCAAAATTTTAGGAAGTTCTATTGCTGTAAGTTATTTATATTCCTATTTAAATTTTAACTTAATTATAGAATCTTCTGTCTGTTAAATAGGTAATTTTGAATGATTTAAATATATTTCAATGTCCATACTAATTTACTAATTGGTTTGTAAATTAGGCAATAGTTTTAAACAGATGAATTAATTCGATTCCACGATCCATTATGCATATTTGCATGGAGTTTTTATAATATAACTAAAATTTTTTCTAAAAAACTAGGTAAATAAGTAAAAACACTTCAGTCTGTAAAATTAACAATTTTTGGATAATTTTGACAGATGCAAAAATATTATGGCATTTAATTTTATTATAGTTTTGTATCCCTATCAAAAATTTCAAGTCAAATGTAATAACAGTTGAAAGTTATCAAATATATTTAAATTCAAATAGGTTTGTGCAATATTGATTTGTCCAATAGGTTGGTGCAACCCTTTTGTAGTAATTTACTGACCGGTCGGTAAATTATGCAATAACTTCAAATTGATTAACTTTACAGACAATAATTCCTTTATGCATAATTGGATATTGTAACCTTAATTTTTGTTGTTCATTACACAATTAAATAAGTAAAAACACTTCAGTCTGTAAAATGAATGATTCTTTGTGATCTCAATAGATTAAATAAAAACTGAATTATTTAAATTTCAAGCCAAATTTTATAACGGTTCAAAAATATCAATCATATTTAAGGTCAATTTCCTATTTTTCTGTAATTTACTGACCGGTCTGTAATTTATGCAATAATTTTACTGACAGGTCTGTAAATTAAGCAATAATTTTCAAATCATGTGTTTTTTGGATTCCATGATTCCTTTATGCATATTTGCATAGTGCAACCCTAATTTTTTTTCTTTATAACACAATTAAATAAGTAGAAACCTTTTAGTCTGTAAAATAAACAATTCTGAATAACCCCGACAGATTTTATAAAAAATGGATCACTATTTCAAAATTCAAGTCAAATGTAATGATGTTCCAAAAATATCATAAATTAAATAAAAAATTACAAACTATTTAAAGTTGATATGTGTTTATTGTTTGAACAGCCCATTTTCAGCAATTTACTGACCGAACAGTAATTTATGTGATTATTCACTGAGCAGTAAAAGTCTGTAAATTATGCAATAGTCTTTAAAATATGTATTTTTTTGATTCCATGATTCCTTTATGCATTGTATATTTATAATATGACCCAAATTTTTATTCCCAAAAAGAAAAAAATAAAACCCTTCAGGCTGTAAAATAGATGATTCTGGAAAAAAAGAGAGACATTTTTAAAGTAAAATTTTGGTTTTTTGTTTTCTTATAGTTCTTAGATCACTATAAAATTTCAAATCAAAAGTAATAACGATTTAAAAGTTATTCAAAGGTCAGTTTGACCGCAAAATTATATAAATTAGTAAAACTCCTTGGTCTGTAAAATAGATGAAACAGGTCAATCCTGACAGATTTAAAAAAAAAAAATTTTTGTTATTTTATTTCCTTATAATTAATTGGTGGGGGCTGAGGGTGCTTAAGCCCCGGGCCCCAAGGCTATAGCCCCCTAAAAAGGCCTCGAAAAACAAAATTAGCTCTGGACCCAAGAAGTATATATATATATATATATATATTATTATATATATATATATATATATATATATATATATATATATATATATATATATATATATATATATATATGTATATATATATATATTATATATATATATATATATATATATATATATATATATGAATATTAATATATATATATATATATATATATATATATATATATATATATATATATATATATATATATATATATATATATTATATATATATATATATATATATATATATATATATATATATATATATATATATATATATATACAGTGGCGGATTAATACTTCTTGGGTCCAGAGCTAATTTTGTTTTTCGAAGCCTTTTTAGGGGGCTATAGCCTTGGGGCCCGGGGCTTAAGCACCCTCAGCCCCCACCATAATCAAGCACTGTATATATATCAGGGCCTATTCTAGGAAAAAAATTTGTGCGGCGGTACCCCTCCTTCCAAGAGAAATTTAGCAAAAAATCGACGTTTATTTGCAAAAAAAAATAATATTTGCCGTAAAAAATGTAAAAAAAAAAAAAAAAAAATCTTCAAATTTTAATTTGGGCAGCACCCAATTCAATGCCTGAATACGGTCAACGCTGTCAAAAACGGTCTAGAATAGCCCCTGTTTATATATATATATATATATATATATATTTATATATATATATATATATATATATATATATATATATATATATTTTTTTTTTTTTTTTTTTTTTTTTATAATTTAGCCGTACAAATATTTACAAGTTCCGTAATTTAAAATATTTAAAAATGGCAAGGACGAGAAGAAGACGGGGTTGTCTTATCACCAAGTCCCTTGTTTGTCTAGACATTTATATAAATACATGGTAACTAAAATGAAAATTAAAAAATTAAGAAAAAAGCAAAAAATTACAAAGAAGTTTATATAAAATGCCAAATAGTTTAATAGTTCAAAGTTTTGAAAGATATTTTTTCGATTTTATTTTTTGAAAGAAAAATTTAAAAGTTCATTCAGAAAAACAAAAATATCAAAAAACAAAAAAACATGAAAAAAGTAAACGTAAAATTTAATTTACAGTCTGCTCTTATAAAGTGTAATATATTAATTCCTCAAAAACAAATTACAAAATATTAATATAAAAAATTAAAACTCAAAAAAGATTACTTTTTTTATTTTTCCTCTCTCTCTCTTATTTAAGAAAACTAATAAATTTATTTAAACTAATGAAATCTAAAAATGCTAAAAATCTTTATAAGTACTTTTTTTATAATATAACAGACTGTAATACCTATATAAAATTAAAGAATTTAGACCTTCCAGACAAATAAAGTATGCATTAGTAGATAGTTTTAATATATAATATTTTTATAGATAGATTTAAAAATAATTATCTGTTTGTTCATTATTTAAAAGTAATAGTTTTAGTTTTTGTTTAAACTGATCAAGAGTTTTGAGTGTTTTAATATCATTACTGATTATCTTATTCCATGCATTAGGTCCTCTAACAGTTATTGCAAACTTGGTGGAGTCGTATATAGTTTTGGGTTGAACAAAGTTGTTGTTAGAATATTTAGTTACGTATTTGTGTTGAATTTTATTAAATAATGGTTTGAAGATATTTGGTATTGAATTGTTATTAATTTTATACATAAAAATCAGAAGATGATATATATTTATTTGGTACACATTTAGTATTTTTAGATTGTAAAACAATGGTCTTGAATGTGAGAGGCGGTGTGCATTTGATAATAATCTAATTGCATGTTTTTGTTTGCTAAATAGCTTTTTTATCTTTGTTTTATTGGTGCTACACCAAGCAATGTTTGCATAATTAAGATAAGAATGTATAAATGAGTAATATATGTATTTCAAGCAGGATTGATCTAAGAATGGTTTTGCTTTATAGAGTAATCCAATATTTTTAGAAATTTTATTTTCAATCATGTTTATGTGGTCTTTCCAATTTATGTTTTCATCTAGAATTACACCTAAAAATTTCATCGAATATTCTCTTTTTACGATGTAATCTCCAATAATAAGTTTTGGAAGTTCAAGAGGAATTTTTTCTTTTTTATGGAGGCGATGAAAAATAGTATATTTAGTTTTAGTTAAATTAATTATATATATATATATATATATATATATATATATATATATATATATATATATATATATATATATATATATATATATATATATATATATATATATATATATATATATATATATATATATATATATATATATATATATATATATATATATCCAACCCAAACATACAGACATACATACATATATATACTTACCAGTATGAGGATGACTATTGATTATTTGAATGAGATCTGTTCTTTCTAAAATATTCAATAGATCAATTAAATATTCAAAGTTATTAGGTCCAACTTTACGAATACGTTGCAACTCTCTGATCATTTCAACGCCATTATTAATACTATTAAGAACCAAATTCTCAGAAGAAAGGAGAAACTTAATTTCTTTAATTTCGAAAATATTTAATTTTTCTCCAATTTTCAACATTTTTCTTTTGTAGTCCATTTTCAAGTTCTAAAATAAAACAACATCTAAGCAATGGATCTTAAAACATCTTTCTCATTCGTCTAGAATTACTAAAGATTAAAGAAATTAATGAATTCTTTACTCTTAAGTAACTCTAAAGGATTAAGCTAAAAAATACAATCACCTGTATTTGTAACAAAGAGACCTATGCGTAATAATTGATCAAAAAAATCTAAAAAACTTTTTTCAAGCAGTTTTTTAATAATAATAGTATAACTAATAATTAATATTAATAAAACCTAAATTTCGAAAATGAACAAAACATTTTTTTTTTAAACAATTAAATATTTTTTATTAAAATTTTGTTTACATGGACAATATTTTTTGCTTTTTTCATATTCCTGTAATTTTCTTTCATTTACTATAGTGCATTTCCAAAAAATCATGCACTAAAACATTTTTTTTAAAAATTATTTTCATAAAAATAAAACTAGCAATCTCTCAATTTCCTCTAATTTAATTTTAACCTATATAAATATTTTGTAAACAAAAAAGGCAATCATTAGTAATGCTATTAAAAATAAATTAAATTTAAAGCGGAATCGCACACTAAATATGAAAATGTAACATTTATTTAATAGAAAAATAAACTTTAATTCGTTGAAAAAAAAAAAAAGTTTCAGCAGTATATATTTAAAATAATATAAAATAATAATATTAATAAAACCAGAATAGAAAGTTATGTCGTTAAGGCGATCCTGACTCATTGTAGAACTGAGATAATTTTTACTAAGTTTAAGCTTGCTGAAGCTTCTTTCTGCTGATGCTACTATTACTGGTGCTGTAAAAAGTACCCTCAAACTGACACTGAGGTTTGGATATGGACTTTAGTTATTTGGTTTGGCTTTTAATACAGTTTACTGCTGCTGTCTGTTTTTTCATTGTGGTGCCGATGATAGTGTAATTTTTCAATCATTTCCGTTTTGTTTATTGAAACCTCGGAAATTCCGTTTGTTTGTTGAAACTTTGGATTTTCTTTTTGAGAATTTTCCACGAATTCTCTATCGGATTCAGGTCAGAAGAGTCCCCTTGCCAATTTAAAACAGGGATATTTTTTATTTTAAGGAAGTTTGGAATGATTTTAGCTTTATGGTAAGGAGCACTATAATGCGTAAACCTAAATGTTTTGTCATTTATAAACCATTCTTTTATTTGGGCGATAAGTTGGCTTTCTAGAATTAACTCAGAACTGAGATACCAAATACAGCTGTGGTCCAGGTTTTTTTTTGCTGCCTTTGATGAAAATTATCAAAATTAAACATTTCAAAAACATTTCAAAAAACTCATTTTTACATATATTATCTGGGTGATTTTGTACGTTGTGGCTTGTACAGTATTGTGCAAATTAATTGCATCAAGCTAAAGAAATAACAAAAAACCTACATATGAGCTCTTATTTAGTTTTTATTTTATTTCTTTAGCTTAATTAAACAAATATGGATGTAACACCTAGAAAACGTTCAAAAATCGTAACTTTGATTCAACATTCTGGAAAAAGTCTGAGAGATCGTAAAATTATGCCATGTCAACCAGTCTACTGTCAGCCGAGACTGGTGGTTTTTCTCCAAAGCGACTGGGCAGGTCTGGTCGAAAGAGAGAGACTACAGCCAGGGATGATCGTTTTCTACTACAGCAAAGTAAGAAGAACCCCAAGAAGACAAGTGTCCGGCTCAGGAATGATCTTGAAAGTCATTGTGTCAGTATCTGTTCAAGCACTGTTAGGCGGAGACTGCTTTGTGTTGGGCGGCCAGCTAGAAAGCCTACCAAGAAGCAACTTTTGACGACAGCTATGAAGAAAAGAAGATTGAAATGGGTCAAGGAATACAAGCAATGGACCAAAGATGACTGGAAAAAAGTATGATATGAATTGTTTCAAATAATCTTTGTAGTAATATAGTCTTTTTCTTCTGCAGGTATTTTTGAGTATTATATTAGTAATCCTACAATGTACTTGGTAAAAACATTTCTAACCCAATATCAAGCTTTATAATCACTTAATTTACATATTTGCTTTATTTGCAGGTGATATTCTCAGACGAGTTTCATTTTGAGGTCCAAGGACAGCGGTCGCAGTTTGTTCGCAGATCAATCGGGGAACGAATACGTGAAGGTCACATTGAGCAGCATGTCAAGCATCCAGATAAGAAAATGTTTTGGGGGTGTTTCACAGTAGCTGTGCCTGGAGCACCTCAGCCTGTGACTGACATGATGAATTCCGATGGCTATATCGATGTTCTGACAAGAAAACTGATACCAGAGTATCAGGGGTGATTCAGCAGGACCTAGCACCGTGTCACACATCAAAGAAAGTCATTAAAATTCTTAAAGACAGCAGAATTGTTACTCTAAAATGGCCAGACAATTCACCTGATAATATTCTCATTAAGAATTTATGGGGTATAGTTAAGAAGAGACTTAAAACTCACGACTGTACCAGTAAACCGAAGCTGATAGAGGCTATCATGGAAATCTGGTTTCACGATGAAGAATTGAAGAACTTGTATCAAACTCGGGTGTATTCTATGCCACAGCGTGTGCAAAGTGTAATTGCATCACGGGGAGGACATATTAAATATTAGATATGAACTGTTATTACTAAACTGTAATAAACTAAGTTCTACATTTATTTTTAGCTTGATGCATTTAATTTGCACAATACTGTATTTACTATTATAAAGTTGATTACGATGATGTGGTTAATGAAGAAAATGTGGTTGATAACAATGATGTGTTTGAGGCTCGATAAGCTAAAAATAGAGGTATTCAACAAAGTTAGAGCAATTTTTTAAGGTAATATTTGACTTGAAACTTCCTGTTTTTTATTTTAAAAGTAGTGAGTTGATTTTAAAAATTGTGCAAAGAAGGGGAAGGGGGTAGAGTAAAAAAGTGTCCGTGGCATCAATATCTGTTTATATATTTTAAATCACTAGCCATAAAAAGTTTGAATAAAAATCTTTATTTATGTAAAACCATTATAGCAAATAGATACAAAATTTTGATTTTAATAGGGATTGATTAATTCACCTGCAGTTTTTGGGAGTTGGAGGAGAAACAAAACAACAAAAAATTTGAAAATGTTTTAAATTCATTTTGAAAATTTGCAAAATCAAAACCTTTTTTAAAATATACTTAGGGCCGTCCCGCTCTCTTGTCGCTACTGTTTCAAAAATGTTGGTTGGAGCAAGGTTAAAAGTTAGTTTTTTAGAATATTAAAATTATTTGTTAAAATGACAATTTTTACTTCACTATTCTTGGAATAAATATCAATTATATAAATTCTAAAACTTTTTATATTATATAACTTTTATATAATAAATTCTAAAAAGTTTGCCGTTGTATTTTTTCTGGTAAAGAAAAAATTATTTTTGGAATAATTTACCGCTTCTATAATCTAAATTAATATCGTCGAGTCAAAAGCCGAAATAATCAAGATCGCGTGCGCAACAATAATATTGTCGGATTATCCAAATACAAAAAAAGTGTTTGACTTTAAAATTTTATTTAATGGTTTCCCAACAAACAACTGCTAACTTCTAATTTAACAATATCATCAAACAACAATAAAGTTAAATTCCTCTTCTATAATACTATAAGCATAGTACCTAGCTTGGAAACCTTTTCAAGATATTATTGAAATCTTGTAATTTAGAAAAGTAATATGTATTTGAATAGATGAATGTTTTAATTAAAATAGTAAGATGGAATTAAGAAGGTGAAAGTTGAAATTAAGAAACGTCAAATATATTTTAGAAAATGAAAGTTGGAAATAAGAAATCGTAAAGTGTAATTGAGAACATGATACTTGTAATTAAATAAATTATAAAAAATACAAATTTCTTTGTATTTTAAACTTCGTAGTCTTAATATACTTTGTAATTTAAGGCAAGAAATAATAATATAATATCAATAAAATATAAAAAGTCATGAAAAAGACATTCGAGATTTAGCCGGTAACTGGAAAAGTCTCATTGGGGGTCCTGAAATCTTAATTAAATTCTATTTAGTTAAGATTTCAAATTAATAATAAATAAAACACAAATAATTTATTAAATTATAATTTAAACAACGTCATTATAAATCGTTGCAATAATCAATTAAGCACCAACTTGGGTGTCTTCATATTTAATATCGTTCCATAATGCGTGGTTATATGGTGTACATTCAAGTTATCTGTACCTAAATATCATACTGCTCATTATGGCTATGAATCCATACAAATTAAAAGCATAATAACTCGTTACATCCTCCCCTCCAAACTAAAATCTATTAAATCACTTTTCAAATTTAAAACTGGTCTCTTTAACTATTTGTCAGAAAAATACTGTTCATAAATCTTGTACTTTTTTTTTACATATTTGTGTGGATACATATATATGTATCTACACAAATATGTATGTGTATATATATATATATATATATATATATATATATATATATGTATATATATATATATATATATATATATATATATATATATATATATATATATATATATATATATATATATATATATATATATATATATATATATAGTATAATGATGTGCAAAAAATATCTAGTTTCTTTGACTTTAATATTATGCAAACAAATGCTTTCTAGCGTACCACCGAAATATTGCATAACTAAATGAAAAAATACAGTTCAATAATTCCAAAAGGAATACTCGATGAACTAAATTAAGTTAAATGGCAGACATCAGTTAAATATTTAGCATTTGTATTTTTTTAAATAT